AGAAATATCTGTACAATGAATCATTTGCCCTTATTATTATTTTGAAGAGCCTACAAAGCCAAAGTTTTGTTGGAGTTTTTTTCAGAGAGCTGCTTAATGTGCCTGACTTTGTCCTAAAAAGGATCTTATTTGCCACAGAAGGTCTTTCAAGTGGATTTGTTATGCAGTGATATAATTAAGGAAGAGTGAGAAGATTTCTGATCTGGCAGCTATTTGGAATGCGGAAACGGCCGCTGGAAAAGGCAGAGGTCTTGCTGGAGTTTACAAAACAAATTAACACAACAAGGAAAGTATGAGACTTCTAATTGATGTAGTTTCCTCCAAATATTTTCCATCAAAAATTTTCTGTCATCAAATTTTCAGGATTTGATTCAACTTTCCACAAGTCAGAGTCTGTCAAACAGGGCAAAGGGGAAAGCTGACACAGATGAATTGGCTTTTTTTTTCCACCTATGGGGTAAATTATTTTATTAGACATTCATAACAGTTCCTTGGACACTGCTGTTTAAACAGACTGTTTGTGGCTGCTTATTGCCAAGTTAAGGTAAATGTTAAACAGATGGAAAGAAGCAATAAATGTCACTGGAAGGTTAGTAATCTTGTTCTTATCAGCATCCCTTTGTGTTCATAGTAACTCTAAGGCTGACCCATGGGATGTTAACAGAAAGTGTTTTCAGTTGAGGGTTTGAGGAATAGTGGTAGTTTACACAGGAAGTTTTAAAAATCAGCAATAGGCTGCTGATTCAGAAAGTTTGGGAACCATTTTTCACGTTACAATAATCAGGTACCTGATTTTGAGTATATAGTACAGTTTCCTTCATGTGGATCTTCCAAAGCTCAAGAAAACTCAGTCTGTGTGACTTCACTGGAGTACCCTGAAAATTGTCTTCTGAATAGCCTGAGAAATCCTGCAAAATTCTGGAAGTGAGTTACTGTGGGACTTGGAGAGATACCAGCCTGCTCAGAAAGCTGCTTCCATGTGCCAGGCACGTACAGATGAGGGATCAGCTGAGACCACAGCCTGTGTGTGGTTCTGCATTGTCTTTGTTACCAAAACACAAGTGTGAAGGCAAACTTAGAAGCAGAGCTCTGTTAGTATCTTTGTTTTTGCAAATACTAGTTTTAAAATTTTTTTAAATACATGTTTTTCCTTTGGATGTATTGAAATTTTACTTTATAGGTCCTAAAATTGGAAACAATTCCTTCACACACTGTCATCATCTGTAATGGTTTGGGAATGGTCATATTCCTCAAAACAGACCCATGGGTTAGACTTCTTTTCTTAAGCTAGAGTGAAAAAGAAATTTTTGTGTGCTATGGGATGTATTTAAAACAATATTTTAAATGTAAAAGTTTTTTAATATGATTGTAAGCAATTTTTGACTTACCAGTAGAGTCAGTGTTAAGGGAAACATTGTGTGAAACAAAGTGGTGTTAATTAGGAATGTTTCTTGGAACGTGGCAAACAACTTGATCACAGGTCCATGAGCTAGAAGAAATGAATGAGGGTTTTTAAGCTGCTGCATTTGACCTTATTTTTAATTCAATTTTTTTTGACACCTTCTTGTAATAACTCCTGAGCCTTCCCTAAGAACAGTTAGTGTAAAACTGAATACTTCTGGAAATTGCTCATACACTTTTTTTCTATTTGCAGCCTTTTACATTGATTCTCAAAGCAGCTTTTTGTGGTCTGAATTTGCTTCTTAAGGGAACTGATTCTTAACATGATGATATTTAGTAGTTTTAGTATTTATAAATAGAACTATCCTACTCACTGAAGAATTATTTTTCTAACTACAGTTAGTACAGAAATGGTGTTGGCTTTGAACTAAAAGACATTAAAGGAATTTTCAGTTTGGGCAGGACTGAAAAGCTAATATTTTCTTGTGCTTATATTACTTGACTTTTGATTTAGAAGCATGTCAGGTAAATGAAAATTCCCCTTTTGTGCTGGAGTAGGAAAGAGTTTTTACCTCGGTTGTGCCTTTGCTGTACTGATTATAATGTCCCTTAAATTGAGCCTCTTGTCTCCTTTGAAGCAGTACTGTCTTTTATGATGTTTGCTTTCATTGACTAGAAAACACTGTCCACCAGAGAGTTCATTTGGGGTGTCTGTTGTTGGATTTGAGACACTGCTTCTTTATCAGGCATGATTTGAGCATAATTTGTCAACTTCCTCAACCATTTCTTCTGAAAACTCTCATTAAGGAGGGTTGAAAGTCTAATTGCCCCAAGTCTTCATCCATGAGAAACTAAGAACAAAACATATTCAGTAAAGACAAACTTGGATTTGGAACTAATAAACTATAAAACAAAGTATTTGGATGAAATATGTAGTCCTCTCTGTTCTTTCTGCTCTCATAATTTTGTTCTGAAAAAGTCTAAAAGCACATATGTGTCCTCAGCTCTACTCGATCCCACCAAGTCATTACTGTGAGAATGGGAAAATCAGCCCCTTTTCGTACAGAGATGCAATAGGAGTACTTCAGCATTATTTTTAAACTAAGAGAATAGGAAGAAAGTTCATAGCTTCTTTATTGGTAACACATAGAGTCCAATATGAATGTTAAAAGTGTAGTGATGAACTCAACTGTAGCTTTTTTTTCCTTGTTAGTGAAAGGTTCAGACAAGCAAAGTAATATTTTATTCTAAGCCTTTATCTTCAATCTATATGGTCTATAGCTGTAGACCTTTATTAACCAGGTAGCTGTGTAACACATGCACCTTTTGTTCTCTCTCTCCCATGTTTCACAGCTGCACTTCTTTCACTGCTTCCCCTCCTTTACCTTTCTCACCAAACAAGTTTTATATCAAGTTTTAGCTCTCTACTTGTGGAGTTTATTGGTGCTGTTTGTGCCTGTTGAAAGGTCTGTTTCTGCACAGACACTGCTTAAGGAAAACCTAGTGAATGAGTTTCCTGGATGCAGTCAGTTCCTGGCATTGCACATGCCTTGCAGACTGGAATGTTGTTGTCTTTGTTCCTGCATCGAGTTTCTAGTGTGTGCCCAGTAGAGGATACTGCTATTAGTTGCAAATACTTATTTTTCCTCTTTTAAATTCCTTCAGAACTTCAGCTATAAAAGTATTTAATTTGCCTGTAATGGCAGGTCATCTCTTATAAGCCCAAGAGGCATTTAATAGGGATTTTAGCTAATACAAAATTTATGGGGAAGAGCAAATATTTTTATTTAGAGTTTAAATAACGTGCATAGGTATCTGATCGTATTAAAGATATACCTAATATTGTAAGACATAGTGAGGAAAAAATGCAGGGCAAAATTTATCTTAGTGTTCACTTAAGGCCACTAAATGAAATAAGGAGGGCTGAACTGTTCTTCTCTTTCTTCATTTTCAGTTAGATGATTTCCCTTAATTTTTCCTTTCCTTGTTGCAGTCCCCAGAGGGAGAGGGGGAGGCCAGGGCTGGCATGGTGGCTAGGGATTGGCAGTAGAAAAGCACTTAATAGCAGCTTTTTGCCTAAGCTGGTGCAGCTGACTGGCATTAGCAGCATCACAGGCTGGCGGGGCGGGATGGTGCCCAGCGGCGCTGGTACGTGTGCTGGGAGCAGGGTGGGCTGGGGAGGAGTGGGGTCATTGCTAGGGGCTACAGTAGCTTCTTTTAAAAAGAGACAAGTTGTAAACACAGTCAAGGATTGTTTTATGCTCGTTGTTCATTGTTCTTGTCAATCCAGAACCCCATTCCAAGCTATACAGTGGTTTTAAAAACTCTAATTCTTGTTTGGTTTTTTTTGTTTTATACTGCATGTTATATATAATGAATGTATTTAAGTTTGCATATGTTTTGTTCCTTTTTATAAGTATATTAATGTTTTTGCTAATATTTGCCTAATCCAGCGTTGAGTTTACTTTAACTAACTATGGAAGATGTGAGTAAAAAGTCGCCAGTATCACACGGTAGTGCGAATGAACCTGTTGTAGAAATTTTGATTTAAAGAAAATATTCTTTTATCAGATGAATTGCAGGGTGCACAATCAGAGACTGAGGCTAAGCAAGAAATTCAGCAACTGCACAAGGAGCTGATTGAAGCCCAAGAGCTAGCTAGAACAAGTAAACAAAAATGCTTTGAACTTCAAGGTGAGACCCAGATCAACTTGGTTGTGTAGGGTGTTGATTAAAGTTGTGTTTATTAGATAGTCTTAGAAGGGGTCCAATTTTGCTGTCTGTCTCTTAGATAAATTTGGTTCATAGCATTCACATCTCCTGCACAGAATGTCAGAAACTTTTTTTTTTCTAAACTTTATATGCAGTTCAATTCAGCTCTTTTTCAGTCAAAGTAAACGAACATGTTTTCTTAGTATTGAATACATACTTGAGCTCCATATATTTAATCCTTATAAAATGTAGTCATAAACAGATACTCATTAATCTGGATTTCAGTCAGATAATGCACATATCTTCAGTGGTAGTTCTTTGTTTAGATCAGATATGTAGGTCTATCATTATCCTCAGCAAAATTGTGGGTTGCTGTTGACAGGAAATACTATAGCCCAGTTCAATTGCATATTGTTCAGTGTTCTTTATGGGGTGTAGTTACAGCTTTGTTTTTTCTCCTCCCACACCAGTTTGCAGTTAGCACACTTGGAGTTTTCAGATCAGGCAACAGATTACATTAATTTCAAATTAATTGTAATACTACCTCAGTAATGGAATGGTGTCTTAATATTAACTTGTATTAAACTACTTACACAGCTACTAGCCTTCATAACTTCCTGAAATAATATGTTTGTTTAATCCTTTCATTTAAGGGGAAGTTGTGACTAAAATTAATTGCACAGCTGATAAACATGTTACTAACAAAAACTCCTGGGCATGTTTTCACCTTTACTTATAGCACTGTTGGAAGAAGAGAGAAAAGCATATCGAGTGCAAGTTGAAGAATCTAACAAGCAAATAAATGCTCTGCAAGGTAAGAATTTATTTTTTTCACCCCACTCCTTAGGGAAAACATATAACTTTGTTTCTGTGGCATCATAATTGAGTGTATGTTTTAAATCTGATTTCTTTCACCATCTCTTTGAATTTTATTGTGGAGTGTTTTCTGTCAGTTCTTGTGGTTCTAATTATAACTTAGAAAATGCAAAAGATGTAATGGGTAATAGGTACCTCTTCATGTCTCTTCAGTCTTTCTCAGTTCTGAATGATCCAGGGATTCTTCCTGTGGCTGCCTTCAGAGTACTCAGGAGGTTCAGCCTGTTTGTGCTACTTGGTCTCTTCACTTCATTGTAGGATCCTCTTGAAGAAATTTTTCATCCAGATCTGCATCCAAGCTCAGAGCATACAATGAAATCTCTGCAGCAGAGACAGTGTCTGTGGTTTTGGGGAAAATGATATCACCAATCATACTCTTCTCATCCCAAAATCATTATAGCAGAACGTAATCCCACGATTTACATAACTTCTGTGTCACATATCCTCTGTCACGTTAACTTGTCATCCGGTGCATGTGAGTGAGCTCATTCACCAAGAGTCTGTCTAGCCTTAAAACCACTAAGGGTTACATTATGTTGTGACTTCCTCAGAGCAAGCATTAATTTGAACAACTACTCAGCCATTGATTGCATTGAAAGTTGGGAGATTCCTACCTTGGATCTTGGTCAGCATATCGTTTGGTTTGGACCCAGAAGTGGTTAGAAGGCAGATGGGCAGACATGCAGATGGACTGACAGTCCTGACTTCCTTAGGAAGTTAAAATAGCACTAGCAAATGTATTTTCTGGGCAGTAGCTTGTTGTGAAATGTGGTACTTGTCCTGTACCAGTTACACTGAGAAACCTGTGTAATAACACTGTTGTTATGTGCATGGCAGCAAGGGATATCTACATTTTGTGCCATTGCTCCTGTAAGAAGAAGAAGCTTTCAGAGTGCTCATCTTCAGAGCAAGAGGAGCAATTTAATTTTGAATGTTACCCTGCTAATAATGACAATTCTCCAAGTAGCAAATGCTGTAACAAAAGTTAGAAAATAGAATTTGATAGTTAATTCTGTTCAGGAAAAAAAGAAAATTTTTTTCTTCTCAATAAAAGAGAATCAAAGCAGAAGCTTGACAGAGCCAGACTTAACTGCAAGATGCCTCTTGTCAGTTCAGTGGGTTTTTGTTTTCTGGATCCGTCTCAAGTGACGTCTTGCTAATGTTTCCTCCTCCATTGTAGTTCAGAATGTTCTGATGTTCATTGTATGCTTGCTGCTTCCCAAAATTTTAGGGTGTGACGCATCTCTCAATTTGGGAAAAGTTGTCAGGATTCTCCCTTGGCAGTCACTGTGAACTGTAGGGAAGGAAAGAAAAAAACAACTTGGCAACTTCATGCAGTAACATTTCTTGAAGTACTTCCATGGAATCAATGTTTTTGGCCGGCCAGTGCTGCATGGCTTAATGTGTTTGTCACAGAGAAGAGAAAGTGCCACAGAAACAAACGAGATCTTGTCTCTGCGTGTGAAGTTTGTTAGATGAACAGATAGGTAGAGCAAGAAAATTCAACTAACTTGTCATTACTTATTTTAAAAAAATAAAAGAAGTGAGGCATTCAGTTTGGATGAGGTAATGGCTTACATAAACAAGAGATGTAATGGAAGTTTTCTTTCTAATTGCCCTTTCAAATTACATCCAGTGCTTCAGAAACCATTCCAGTATTCTTAGTAGTAATTTTCCTGTGTAAGTCATTTCTACAACTCCACAAAGCTTTAGAAACTCTTGGGTATCTTTGGATTTTCAGTCATACTGTGCTTGTTTTCCCACCTGAACATTTAAAGGGAGAGTTGTCCATCAACAAAGCAGGCAGAAGAAAAGAACACATTTCTTTGAGATGCTGCCAATACCAAGGAGCAGGAGTTTAGCTTGGCTTGATAAAGAAAACAATGTCAGGAAGATATGCTTTGAAAAAGTCGTTCCTTTGCTCATTAATAGGCACCTGCTGTATTAGCAGGTCATAGTTCTTTGTGGTTTAGAGCATATTATTTTGGCAGGTTTAAGGCTTCTAATGTAAGGATACATGGAAAGGCAGTTGGTGATACAGGTTGTTCTGTCAGGTTGTTCTCATCCATTACTTCATTAATAGCAAGTGTTAGTGTAAGCTTGTAGAAACTATTTTCAAACAAATGGGGTGGTAGTAAGCCTCATGTTGTTCACATATATTTAAAACCCCATCATGATGCAAATGTTTTTGTTATAGAACAGGATAGGCTGTTTCATCTTACACAGAGCTGCTGTGAAATTTAACTAACTGTTGTCTATAATAGCTCTTAGCCATTGCTGCATATGATACCTATCAGATTTTTTCCCATGCTGTCTATTTCTTCCAAAGTGGGGTGTGGGGTAGTTTATGTAATGAGCTAAATGTCTTGGTGGAGCCTGTTTAGAGGGCAAAAGAAGTTGAGGGTTTTTTCTTCTTCTGTGTACATCAGCTAAGTCAAGTTCCTAGTTTGTACCAGTGTATGAATTCTTTTTATGTTACTGTACATGTAGTTACTGAAAAACATCAAGTATAATTGTCATGAAAGTTCCAAGTCTCTTGAACACCTTTGATGCTATATCAGTTTACATCAAGGCTCACTCACATTCTCCCTGTCAAGTTCTGTAACGGATTGAGAAGGCAAAAATAAATAAAAGTAATCTAGGAAGGTAACTCAGCCTTGGTTATCCTCCCCATGCTTTCCACTGTCCTCATTTTGCCCTTTGCTTCTGAAACATAAACCTTTAAATGTGTAATTCTGACCCTCTGCAGTATCTTCCATTAGGTTTTCAAGTGCTGTTAAGAATTTTACCTTCATCAATTTCATGATTGCTTTTTCACATGTTAAAATAATGAAATACATGTGAACTCTGATGTGTTCTTTGAAAAGTAAAACAAACCCACAGCAAATTAAACCCTTTGCTCCCATCAGTCAGGGTTTTAGCTGTAGTTTTGTTGTTCTTTCTTTCATACTTCCCTTTGCTCTGTGCTGTACTTGTTTTCCCAAGTGTTTGCACTGGATTCTGTTTGCATGTGTGTTTATGAGAAGTTGTGCTCAGAGATGCCTTTAGTAATAGTTTTGGATGGGAATAATTTCTAAGGTTTGCTTCATGCAGAAATGTCAAGTAGCCCAGTGTGTATGTCACTGCTGGACATGTTCAATGAGCTGCTCAAGGACCTTCTCCTAGCCCAGTATATTTGGTGCAGATGTCTCTTTCAATTCCAAATTCATCTCATGCTTTGAAAAATGCTTTTTGCAAAGGAGTCATGTTTATGTCCTCTACTATGTGTTGAGAAGGGAGTAGAAATTAGACTCTGTGCCTCAAATATTTATAGACATCACAAGTTAACTGCTGAACAGGCAGACATTTCCAGAGTGGCTTTGCAAACGTTCGACTTGTCACAGAAGCTTTCTTGCTTTTCCTCTTGGTCTTGAAAGCCCCAAATGTCCTTGTTCTATAATACTTGTTTTGATTACAGTGAAGTTGGATCTAAATCTTGGTTTCAGATTTTGGAGAGTTGCTTTAATATTCCACACACCACACAGCCTTGTCGAAGAAAGCTTTGTCCTGACATAATTTCTGTTTCTTGTGACTGTATTACAGGACCCACGTACATGCCTCTCTAAGGGCACGGCACTTGACAGGATTTTATTTTTTCAGTTGCATTAGGCTTCCTTCTTCCTTTCATCTTCTGCTTTAGTCCTTTAATCCAAAATGGGAAAGAGAGTTAGGTTTTTTCAGTTTTTCTGTAAATACAGTTTTAAAAAATACGAACATTTATATCTCGTCTCCAGCTCAGTTGCGAAGGTTACAAGAAGAAATCGAGAACCTTCGTAAGGAAAAGGAGAAGGAAATTTCAACCACTCGGAATGAACTAGTCAGTGCTCAGAATGAGATTCTGTCCCTTCAACAAGTCGCAGAAAAAGCAGCGTCAGAGCGAGATACAGACATTTCTGCACTGCAGGCAGAGCTGCAGACGGTGCGAGCGGAACTCGAACGGTGGCGGAAAGATGCTTCAGATTATGAGAAGGAAATTGTCAGTCTGCAGGCCAGTTTTCAGCTCCGATGTCAGCAGTGTGAGGATCAGCAGAAGGAAGAGGCCACTCGCCTGAAAGGTATCTGCTTGTACAAATGTCACACAGCAGTGCTAACAGCATCCGTAACCCGTGTGAACGGCAGCTACTCAAATAATTGTCCCTTTGCGGTCACTTACTGTGTCTAGATATGTGCACGTGTGGGTTTGTGTATGTGTATCAAGGCTTGTAATGTTCCAAAAGCTGTTAATTGTTAATTATGCCTCAATTAGCTTAGGTACACTTCAATATCAGCAATAGACCAAGTATAATTCCACTTAGAAAAGCTGGAAAGCTTTTACTGTTTGAGAGGTTCATACTGCCATAGATTTCCAAGAGGAGCTGTGTAACTTCTGTAGAATTTAAACCCATGAAGAGGTAGCTTCTGACCTTTTAATTCTTCTAGCAAAGCTTCACTTGAGACAAATGACTGTATTTTATGGCTTAATGAAACTGATGACACCATCTCATTGTTGACAAAAATGTGAAAATTAAGGCGTTATCCTGGATGCATGATGCAGAGATATAAAAACGTGCTGTTCTGAGGAAGCATGGGCTGCTTTTAGGCTCATTCCTTTGTGCTTTCCTTTGCTTGCAATGCACCCACACCTCATGAGGACAGGTTGAGAGCTGCTACTCCAGGCCTATAGCTTCAGGTCTTGGACAATCTGCTAACAGAGTTCAAAAGCTCATGCTGAGTTTTGTCACAGAGAAACTGGCAAATATAAAATATGTTTTAAATTCTGAATTGGTTAATCTTTGTGCAATTGTCAAAGAAGCCTTCTTCCAGTTCAAATTCTGGTCTCTGTATTATTAGGATGTGTATAACATTGACTTTTGTCTCTATTACCAGGGACTGATTTGTTTCAAAGATTTCATTTTCACTCTCAATTGTTTTAAACATTCTGTTCCTCATAACAGAGACATAGACTAGTCATTCTTCTTGTTTGCTGTTTTCAAGCCTGGGAAATAATTGTCTTCAAATATGCTTTTCTATCACTGTTTCTAAAATACTGGAGTAGACACATAAATAGATTGTTTTCTACTCCTTTGTGCCTTAGAAAAAACTTGCATAGAAATAAAATTGCCTGTTTAATGGTCCACAAACCTCCTAACAGTAGAAGATACTGTACTGTTTTATAGGTGCTCATCATGTGACATCATGACAAACATATATTTGATATTTATGACTGATATCAGCTTTTCCTCCATTTATTAGCTGGTGACACTTGAAGCAGTTGTGAAACAATTTTGCTCATTTGAATTATATTTTATTCATTGCAGGTGAACTCGAAAAACTGAAGACAGAGTGCATTGCTCTGGAGGCTGAATGTGCTAAACTAAGGAAGGAAAATACTTCACTTACATCCGAACTTCAGCGACAAGAGAAGGAGCTTTCTAGGTAAGGCACAGTGAATTTGTCTAGGAGGTATTTTATAGTAGCTGAAGGGTTTTGTTTTGTTGGTTTTTTCCTCACAAAAGAGGTACTAAATATCTGATGGTGTTTGAATAAATTTATTGAGATTTTATTTGTATCAGAACGCTTTCATGTAAAACTGTTACACCAAGTTATTTTTTGTTTTGCAGATACTTTTGTATTACTTATCAGTCATGTTATAGCATTTAGCATGACTGACTTTGGTGCTTTTCATAAGAACTTGGAAGTATGCTTTGTGCAAGTATTTAGACTCAGCAGTTATCCTTCTGCTTAAAATATAATAAACCACATAAATTTCCTAACCTCAAATTTTCTGTGCCCAAGATGGTAAATGATTCTCAAACAGTAGTGTGTCTGGTGGAAGCCTCACAGATGAAAGAGTAATGTCAGAAACTGTGTCCTGTATCATGTTTTGCTTAATGGAAGAATACAAATCTTTCTATTACAAGGGTCATATTATCTTTTGGGAGGGATTTTAGAGTGCAGGAGAACTGGTATTGTGCTGTATTTCTTCTGCTATTTGAGCACATAGAAGCGTAGAATTTTAGGGGTTTGAATGGACCTTAGAGATCATCTAGTCTCAACCACCTGCCCTGGGCAGAGACACCTCCCACCAGAGCAGGCTGCTCAAGGCTTCATCCATCCTGGCCTTGAACACTGCCAGGGTTGGGGCATCCATAGCCTCCCTGGGCAACCTGTACCAGTGTCTCACCACCCTCACAAGAAAAAAAAACTTCTTTCTAATATCCAACCTAAACTTCCCCTCCTTCAATTTGAACCCATTACCCTTTGTCCTATCACTGCACTTCCTACCACAGAGTCCCTCACCAGCTCCTCGTAGCCCCTTCAGATATTGAAAAGTTGCTATGAGGTCTCCACACAGTCTTCTCTTCTCCAGGCTGAACAGCCCCAACTTCCTCAGTCTGTCCTCATAGGGGAGGTGCTCCAGTTCTCTTGGCAACTTTGTGGCCTCCACTGGACTTGGTCCATCAGTTCTCTGTCCTCCTTACATCAAGGGCACCAGAACTGCACACAGTGTTCCAGGTGGGGTCTCCACACAGTCTTCTCTTCTCCAGGCTGAACAGCCCCAACTCCCTCAGCCTGTAATCACAGGGGAGATGGTCCAGTGCTCTGACCAACTTCGTGGCCTCCTCTGGACTTGCATTATCCCTTTCTGTCTGGTGTCCATGTTGTTCTTCATGGCACTTACATTGCCAAAGGCAATCTAAATCTTCTGCCTGGAAGTAACTTCCCTCTTGTCCATTCATCTGCCATTTTTGTTGTTGTTTCAGATATTGGAATTTAATTCACAGACTAAGCATGGGACAACAACCTTGTTTTGTTGTAGGTCTGAATTTTACCATAATGCTTAGATATCTGTGTGGTCTTTTTTCCCTTCTGACTTCCTTACCTTTGTAAGATCCCATAAAAAATTGGAAATGTCCCAGAGTAAAACACTTTTACAAGTAATATGTCACTTTTCAGGAATCAAACCTTTCTTTTTTGATCCATTATGCCCTGATTTCTGTGTTTTTTCATACACAAGGTCACACCAGAAATTAGAGGATTTGCGTAATGGAGGTGTGCAAGATCTTTCCCTTATTTTTCTTTGTCTTGCATAGGCACAAATTAACCCTCTTTCGTTATTACATTGATGTTTGTAATGGCTTAATTGAGAGCTTTCTATGATTCTGACAACTGTACTTAACAGCTGAAGAATATACTAGCTATTACCTTATGTATGTGGAGTAAGCAGAAACGTGCAGACAAGTGGAATCCTTCTCACACCCTTGGGCAGACTTCTCATTCCAAATTTGTTTCAAAGTACTTTGGAGTATGTCGTGAACATTTAGTGAATAATAAATTGTAAAATAAGAAACTAAAAATGAGTTATAAATAAGTTATAGACTGTGGTTAATTATAGACACTAAGCTGTGAAGATACATTTAAAAGCAAGACTCTGGCCCGTCATTTGTGTCAGTGCTCTGTGCAGGGAGACAGTAATCTGTACTTCTGTGATTGCTCTAAGCTGATACTAAATAGCATATTAAATGAAAATAGTGTGTGAAGCTTTAGAGGATGAAAAGTGCCTGTTTGTTTACATTTAAAACACATTAAGGAATCAATTGGGTTCTGTTTTTCAGCTCTCAGAAACAGAGTTTAGCGCTAACCAGCGACATAAGTGTTCTTGAAATGTCTCGGAAGGAACTTGAAATTCAGATGGGATCTTTGAGAGAAAAACATCAACGGGATGCAGCCAGTCTGAAAACTCAGCTCAGTGAAGCTGAGAGTCAAGCAAAAGATGTTCAGAAAGAGGTAACACAAAATATTGTTTCCATTTTGAGAGGATGTAGTGCCCAGTGATTGAGTTTCAAGCTAAAAGAAAAGTTTTCTAGTAATGAAAAAGATTTATAGTAAGGAAATGTTTTAATACTTTGATTACAAGCACTTTCACTGGTAGCTAGCAAAATGTAAACTAGGAGTTAATGCTAAAAAGTGAGATTTCAGGTAAAATTGCTTTCCTGTTTTGGGAACTTGCTAAACTTTAATTTCATGCATTACCTTAGTGAATTTACTTCTAAGTTGTTCAGAGAGGTAAACCTTTACTGAGAGTCTTCCTGAACATCATAGTTTAGAGTTTCATTAGCTGTTACAAGTCAAAATTAATTCTTTTTAGTGAGTCTGACCTTCCTAGTTTGACTGAAACTCTGTATTTGACAATGGGTCTACACATTCTTTATGGGGATCTCTTTTCACCTTACTGGATCACAGGACTGCTGAAGATGGTTAGCAAGTGCATAAGGAAAAGCCAGAATTTTGGGAATGTATTACATCTCCCTAGCCTCTAAAGGTTATGTCTGGGAGAGGGGCATAGTATCCCAACACTTACTTGCTTCCTCTTAGTTTCTTTTGCAGGCCTTTACTTTGCTGTTAATTCATCCATGTCACATTCCTCACAAGCTTCAGAATTTGAAAAACCCAGTCATGTTAGTCTGTGTTTTTGTAATCAGATGTATTTGTAAAGGTGCTTAATCTTCTAAACTTGTGGTAAATACCAGTACAGAAAGTCATTGGTTCTGTCCTTGCTAAGCCCTATCAGAGGACTGGTTGAAAGCTTGTGATCTGTGGAAAAAATATGGAATGTGGGTTTGAAAAGAAGTAGCTACATGTCCTATAGGAACATGTGTCACATTCATCAGTGCTGTTTGTACTGACCCACACTGTGGATTATGCCATGATAGTAACAAGGCATAATATTTTTTAATGCCTGCCTTGCCCTTATGTTTGAGTTTGCTGTGTGGGAAGAGAGTTTGATCTACCTCATACAGACTGTTGGTTTTTGAACCTATTTGATGGCATAGGTATTTAAGCTGCAGCCTAGATGTGAGACCACTGTTCACAGGTGAAGGACTTCTTGTTCCCCCCAGTGTCTTGCTCTGTCTTCATAGTTTTTACAGTCCTTTCCAAGGCAATAATGAATAATTGGTAGGAGAGATGAATTAAGGCCTTGCATTTGCTTTGTATTTCTTTGGGTTTAGTAATCTTAGTTGGGGGATTGCTTTAGAAAAAAAGACAAATCTAAATTTCCCCCTGCTTTTATGAGAAGAGAGTGTACTGATTCAAGGCGAGGTGCTCTAGGCAGATGACAGAAGGACACTGTACAATAAACTAATGTCAGCATGTGTTGGGTGTCCAGGGGTCCACAGACTGTTCTCTCTTTGTCCTTAGTATGAAAGAACACAGACTGTGCTCTCGGAGCTGAAGGCAAAGTATGAGGTGGCTGAACAAGAAAACCAGTCACTCGCGGAGGAGCTCAAACAATGTAAAGAAAACCTGAAGCTGCTACAAGAAAAAGGAAACAACGTAAGTCTGTATAGAATGTGTGGGGAGGTCAGGTTATGACTCTGGCAATTCTGTTGATTGAAGGCATGTGGAAGAATCAAATAGAAAAGGACAGACTTAAAAAATAAAATTAAAAGAAAGCCTGTGTACCATATTATATGCAAAATTCCCTTCTGGTACTACCTGTGCAAATTTGCAGGTCATTACAATGTTGCAGTTATGCATGAGAGTTAAATTTACAGTTGTATGGCAGTTTTAAGTATGTCCTTAGATATCTGATCTCTTGAAATCATGTGGCTTAAATACTAGTGAACCAGAACTAAATAAAAGTTTTTCATTTTGAAGGCTAATACAGAGATAAAAGCTGAGAAACCTATGTCAAATGAATGATCTTTTTCAAATGCTTTTATTTTATTAGTGTTTATTACTATGGATATTTCTTCCTTACTCCTGCTCATGCTACTTAACTGTGGTTATCCCTGATGGGCCTGTGCTTACAACAGTACAGTTCAACTGTCCTTTCTAGTCACTAATGAAAATACTGTTTCCTGTTGCAGTTAATTGGGAGGTTGTGTCATTGGAACTGACACAGCTAGGGACAAGGGGTTTTTTATACTGAGATTCTGAAAGCCTCCAAACGTTATAATGTGGTCACAGCCTTATTTTAGGTACCTTGCTCCCTGGGAGGGTTGATTTATTGTCTTCCTGTACTGCCTCTGTGGTCAGTGCAGGGCGAACAACTCCTGTAGGGGACAGTACAAAACAAGAGGATAATGAATGCTCTGTAATAGCCTTTTAGAAAACTCTGACTACAAAGGAAGTTTTACAGGTCACATCTTCCAAAATCAGCTGACTGCTAGAATGCTAGAAAATTGGTATAAATACTCTGTCCAGAATCAGTTACTGACTACAAACCTCTAACATCATGGAGCTGTCAAAGATACAAAGAATTCAGAGCCCTTCTCAGTTTTCCCAGCAATATAGTCAGGAATGTGATTTTATCATTCTCTTGGAACCTGATTCTTGCTCAGAATTCTTCTGCTGTGCTCAGGTAATACTGAGTTGCTTAAGTAGGCAGAAGTCAAAAACAACCAGCAAAAAACCTCACCCCATTTTAATAGAAGAGATCACACGGAATAAATACTTGTGAACGTGAGATTTTCTGCCCTGTTAAAAACCTTAACTCCAATTAAAATGATCAGTGGAAAAAGGGGGATAGTAGAGGGAAGAAATTCTATGAAGGGAATTGGAGCACCCAATGAAAGAGGAAAGGCTTGTAAGGTAAAGGAGATTTTAGGAAGAATTAGAGGTGAGTATTCAAATGAAATAAAAAAGCACAGCAGTTAGCAAAATCTGTTTCCAGGGGAGGAGTTAGTTAGGACAGTTGGAACCTGGAGGTCAAGGCATGATGAAGAGCATCCAGCCATATAAGGGCTTGCTGTTCAGCAAACATGACTCACAGTCAGTAATGTAAAACATATCCGTCTTGTGGACTATTTCAAACATTGTGGATCCTGGCTGAGTTCCAAGGTCAAATTTTTCAAGTGCCATTGTCCCCTTATGCTGCAATCATTATCTGCTATTTCATTTCCGAGGACAGAAAGTGACTTCCCACTGTGGGATTTATTCCTTTTTGCAGCCCATCTGTGTCTCAGTTTGCATATCCTCATATTCTAGTAAAAGATGCACATTTTTCTTGAAATACCTCATTAAATGCTCCTCAACAATTTGTTGAGGAGATTTGTTAAGTATTGTTAAGTTTGTGAGGGCGAAAATTTAATTGTTTGGAGGCAATTTCACTGAATGTGGTGGATATTCTTCGTTGGTTTCGTTTGCCAAGATGCCACAACCATGAATGTGTGTAACTTACCAAAAAAACCCCAAATCCACAGAACTGTTCAGTGAATTAACAAATGTTAGACAAGGCTTCTGTACTCTGTATGGAATGTCATTTAAATAATAAGCATTTATACTTAAGTTTTACTTCTAAAAAAATTACAGTGTCGTGTTCTTGAAACGCTTAGCAGTGTGGTGTACTACTTGTGCTTGCATGCTTGTAGTCACTGGTTACTTCTGATGCACTTTATGTGACAGATTTAATGATGTGAATGGTTTGAGAACATCAGCTGCTCTGGTTGATTTCAACTTCTGGCACTTTTTTGAGCACTGCTGTGATTATTTCTGCCAACATGCTTTCTGTGGGAAGGTGGCACTGTGATTTGTGGCACCAATGACACAAAAAATAATCTTGCATGAAAATGATTTCAATAGTTACACATTTTTATGTTAAAAATTTGCCTTGATTCAAAAAAAATTAATTGAATGGCAGAGACTCGATAACCTTCTAATATTGCTGTGATTTGAACCATATTGGAGGTTCTATGATTAAGTGACTTCCACAAATTCATAACAGGATGAGATTTTGATGATTATTTACGAATCAAAATGTTTTAGAAAATTCAAACCTGAATTTATTACATATTTATTTGACTGAACAAAATCAAGGTAGCTTCAACACAAACAAGTTGTAAGGATATTTAGCATGTTTTGACTTTAACCTCTGTGTGTCTTCTGTGTGTGCACAAATATATAGGCTAGGATATAGAGAAAGCAGATGTCTTCCAAGGACAGCTTAAAAAGACTTTAGGTCCATTTTTGCCTTTAATTGATCATATCACAGATAGAGGCTGTCCATCCAGAATGTGAAGTGGCTTACAGTTAATTGAAGATAGCTGAGAAAACGTGTGGCTGGTTCTAACGAGGCCATAAGCTAACGGAACCCTGTGGTGTGGCCAGCTGGGACTTTGGCCTAGCTGCAGCATTTGATCACAATTGCATTTGGTCCCAAGGCTGCTGACCTGCCAGAGATGCTGAGCTCTGTGGTATCTCTGATGGAAATGTGCTGCTCTGCTTGTCAGTAACTGAGTGTTGATTGTACGGTCATGTTACAATCTCACAGAAATGTCTGAACTACTGGATTTGCCTGTGGACATAGTTGTAATTGATTCACTAATGGAGGAAAAAGATTCTTTTTCCTGCAGGCTGGTGATGGAAAATGGGAAAGGCTAACTAGCAAGGAATGAAGAAATAGCTGAAAAATTCAATATCTGGTATGAGTCTGTACCTCAAGAAATCCAGATGGGATTTCCTCTCACTTAGAAAAAACTAAACCCAACTATAAATAAGATACAGGCAAATCAGTTGAAGATTTGTATTGCTTTCAAGTGCTAAATTCCAAGTTGTGACAAGAGGTTTCTTGGAACATTTTCTGCTTCCTTCCCTTTATTTTTAAACATCCCTGTTCATTTGATAGAATGGTGTACTAACTTTGTATACCAGATTAGATAATGCTGTAATGTGTTAGATGTCTTTAATACATTTCAATTAAAACAAAACTCACTGACTTATTTTCCCCTCTCTAAATCATCTTTACCTGATTGATTTATAGCACAAAGTGATTTTTAATATCCCTTCCCTTCTTTAGCCTTCCATATTACAACCCGTCCCAGCCATATTCATCGGCCTAATCCTGGCTTTCCTGTATTGGTGTTACGGCCCATTGTGGTAGCGAAAGGTACAAGCACTACTGTTCAGTCAATGTATGTTTGTCCCTCTCACCTGTTTGTGCCATTTCTGTATAAAATAGTGCATGGTGAAATGCTCACAGGTATTTGTTTACCTGAAGCAAACCCTTCATTTAATATGCCATTCTCTTGATCCTGACGAGCTGAGCAATCGACTAATCATTTAACATCTGTGTGATTCCTTTAATTCTAACAATTAATTTCGTTCTAACTGGTTCTGAACTTGCCTTTCCTAACTCGGTGTCAGATTGTCTTCAGCAAATGGGCTGCCTTTTGCACAATGCTGCGATGCTAGGGCTTGTAAGAAAACTTAATTGCTTAATTAACTATGAAAAATGAAGAGTTTGCCTCTAATAATAAAACTCAACAAGCTTTGGTTCCTATCTATGGACTAAGAAATTCCTCTGGCTCTAAACACTTTAATTTTTTCTCACTATTGCTGATGGAAAGATGGGAGTTAAAAAAAAAGACAAATAGGTGGTTGGTTTGTATTCTGAACTCTCAGCTTGCATTTTCTCTAATGTCTCTCAGTGTGTCCTCTTCAATTGCCATTGTTGTCATGCAATGTTGTGACAGTCCATTAAAAATGCTGTTGTTAGGATCTGCTGCAAACTAACGTCACAGATCTGGATTTGAACGTTCCAGAGTTAAAGATGTCAGTGCTGCGTAAACCTGTGTCTGGCCATGACTTGGCACGAGTGATGTTTCAAGCATCTCGAGCCCTCACATGTTGAATAGCAGATTTCTTTGAGGCGCACACAGTAACGAACCTGGAAATATGGAACTGCCAAAGGTTCTCCTGATGATCCTCAGTCATGAAGAGTTGTGGAGTTGCCTTTGCCAGAGAAACACGGTTCACTGTGCTGCTCCGAGTCAGGACTAGCCTGCAGTAGGGCTCGAGGGTAACGTTTTAGCCATGCCTATCAACAGGTACTCAGGACTTGCAGGAACCACGAGGTAAACTGATTAGTATGAATTGGAGCAAATATGATATTGATTTCTTTTTTCTCTCCACACAGAGACAATGGCCTTGGATGCCTGTGATGGCAGCTTTGGTTGCTGTAACAGCCGTGGTGCTGTACCCAGGCCTAACCAGAGCTTCTCCATGAGAACTGTTGTTGAATCCATACACCGTCCTCCCTTTAGAAGCTGGCAACATTCATATACTGAGGGAAAACAGATTAATTCTCTTCCTTTTTACCTCTTAATACCGCACAGCTCTGCGTGAGAACAGCAGTAGGGTCATTTGCTTTAAACTGTATAAAATGTATCTGTCTATAAAGAGGGAATAAAATTGTGATTCATCATACTGTGAGCAATATTTTTGCTTACAACTTCATGCAAGTTTTAAATTAGTATGTTGGGATTCTGGATACTCTAATGGTGGCCTAAAATAGGCTTCTTGGTACCAAATTATTTATAATGGCTAGGGTTGTGGACACTTACTTTAGAACCTGATTGCCAGATTCAAGAGGAAAATGCATTTCTGATTTGGACATCCAAACCAAGTAACCCTGCAGATACTTGGGAAACAGATACAGTGTGCTCAGTGCCTTTCAGTATGATTTCTTATTTTTTAAACTAGTATCCCATTTTACTTGCTGTTAGTCACTGAGCTGTTGGGAACAAGACTTAAGAAAACTCTTACCACGCCTTTCAAAGGAAGCATATTTTTCTTTGATAAGGATTGCTTTATTAATGGGTTATGGGAATAAACACAATTCATGTCCAGCCTTAAAGAGATAGAGATACTGATGGTGAAGACCAGCCTAAAGTATTTAGCGTGCGCGTGTGAGAGTGTAAGCATGTGTGTGTTTTTGAGTGAACTAAGGTGTTTCTGGGAGCAAGTACTTGGTCATTTGATGGACATAGTGCAGTGATTCAACTACGTTAACTTTAGTTTGAATGTAATTTATTAAATTTCATATATTTAAAGAGATACATTCTTTAAAAGTATGAATCCTTTCTCACATATCACATGTATCAGTTTATTTTTTCAGTCATTTGATACTCTGACTTGAGCTGGAGAAGCTCTTTAGATAAGCTTTTGTTGACGTAACTTTCTTAAGAGAACTGCTACAGTACATCTGTGATTAGCTGGAAAAGATCTAAGATACATAAAATACTATGAAATTGAAATCATATGCCTGGGGAAGTATTGTCAGGTGATGATGATTTTAATTTGGTGGTAAAATTTTGTGCATCCTCATCACGTGGCTGTAGGTATGATGCAGTGGTCCCCATTACAAAGTTTATTTTCCTTATCTAAGTACTATAACTATTGCTATTTGCTGACTTTTGGTGGGAATCACTGTAGTTAGTGCTGAATTAAATGTAGACTGTAGTTGTCTTGTTCAGCTCAACAGTTCTGTCAAAAAAGTTTATTAAAGACTTAAATAACATGCTAAAGAATGGTAAAGTAAAATGGCTCTGCTAAAGGAAACTTCAGAATAGGGAGGTAATCTCAGCAATTCAATTGGCTTTAAAGAGTGTTATGGCAATCGACAGATAGTTTGAATATTTAAATAGAAATTTAGCATATAATTTACTTTGTGAGGTTTTAAGGGTCATTGTCCTTTAATTAAAGGTTCTATCTTAAGCTACATGGGATTTGCTAATGGGAGGATTATTAGTTGGAAAAAATAGTCCACAAGTGACTTGTAGAAAATCAATATTGTCATTTAGTTCATTCATTTCATCCTTTTCAGTTGCAGGAAGCCACCCAACCACAGAACACTCGTATGCCAGTGGTACTTAGTACCTCTTGTATATAGGTTATTGCAAATATTGTTCTGAAATGCTTAACTTCAGAATTACATTTTTTAAAGTAAATAATTGTTTTAAATCTATTTTGTAAAGATATAAAAATACAATAGAATTTCTGGAGTACAGATTAAACTATTTGCACTAACACACGTGATGTGCATGATTTAATAAAATAACTTTACTCTCCCTATGCATGTTTGAGTTGAATGTCATTTGAAAACAAGAGGTTCATGCTAAGTTTCTTTTGCACTAGATATTGCCACAGTTACTAGGCACAATGTCTGCAGCATGTCCAGTAGGAGAAAAAGACTTTTTTTTTTTTGTTTTTTTTTTTACCTTGTATTTCACATTTGCACTGATTTAAGTTTTTGTCTAGCTGATCCCTCTCCTGTCTGGTTTTCAGAAAGCAGTGGGGTAGGAGAGAACCATGGAAGGCTTGGGAGCATATTGCCATGGGGGAGGAAAAAAGTGTTCAGGGCTGAAGGGTGGATGATGCCTGTGTCAGGGGAGGTGAGATGGGAGGAGCAGTGGCTGCAGGTCCTGGGGCAATAGTGGCAAGCCCTGCTGGGGGAGAAGAGCCTGATGCTGCCTCCTCACTTCTTTAGCATCTCAAACTCCCTTTTTGTCCCTCTTTCAGTTACTGTTTCTCTTTCGGTGGATTCTCTTCCTTCCTCCCTGCTGGTAGGATGTAGACATGGTACGAGGAGGTGGAGTGGAGCCTGGTGGAGCAGGGAACCCTTCTGACTGCAGCAGGGAAGGTGCTGAGTTCCCTGAGAGCAGCTGTGGGTCCTGCACTGCAGCTGTGCTGCTGGGACATAAGTTTGTTCTTGTATTAAAGACAAATGATGTGTTTGCAGAAATACTTAGAGGATCAGAGAGCTACAGCTTGAGACCCAACATGGTTGTATTAAAGGAGAAATATTTCTAATTTCATTATGTGCATGTGTGCATAGTACACATTGCATGGGGTTTGTGCTTACAAGTGTACCTGTGGTTCCCTAATCCAGTGCCTTTCCCAGGAGTTCTTGGCATGTTCAAAATGATGTGGAATGAGCTGAAATGCGCAGTTCACTTGTGAGAATCCCTGGAGAAGGGTTGGGTAACTAGGAAGCTGCTGTTCCTCAGTGCTTTGATACTAAAACAGCAAGTGGAGTTATTTGCAAGCACTCCTTGCACAAACCTTCCTGGTTTTTTCATTGCTCTTTTTTGATGGTAAATACGTGTGGTCTTTTACATTCATATTTAGGTTCTTTCTTTTGTGAGGCTTGATTAGCTAAGCCTTGGAGTTACTGTAATGAGCAGCTTTTCACACATGAGTAAGATGCTCTACTTGTAAAACAAGTGCTCTGAGCTGGCACTGAAATTTGAGCTTTCAAAAAAGTTCCTCATACTAGAAAAGTTAGAGAGTTGTTTTATCAGCTGCTAGTTCAGTTTGGAAGACTTACTGTAGTAGAATATCTGAACACTTCAGGTTTGTCCTGGTGTCCTGAGGCACCATTTTAAATTCTAGAAGAATTCTACCTACATGGTGACTACAATAGCAGCCTTTGATTTAAAAATATGAGTATACAATATGTAAAAAATAGTGTGATTTTCCTGTTCCTTGTAGCTGAATTAAATACATTCTTCCAGAGTCTTAGCCTCATCCTTTTTGCAGAATCTCTGGAGTTTTTGGTGCTAAATGGGGAATTGTGAGCCTGCACAATATATTGCCAAGTGTTCTCATACAACAGTGAGACTTAGTATCAAATGACTGATGGCTGAAGCAAAGGTAAAACCACCTGTGCATGTATTTTGGGGGTATATTCCCAAGTTCTTTTTCTAATCAAGTCTTCTGAAGTATGTTGCCTGTTCCAGATTTCAGTGTGCTTTATGTAAAATTCTGAATGTCTTCTGCCTTAATCCATAGGGTTCTACCACTTGCAAGAATCATTTCTTCGGCTTGAATCTTCTCCATGACAAATCCACTGCCGAATTCATTCCACCAGCAGCATCTGAGTGCTTTAAAACACCAGGTCACCACAATGGCTTTTGGGAAGCCACTGTCATTTGCACTAGCTCTGGGCCTGGGCCTGGCTGGTTTTCACCAGGGGCCTTTTCTCCCCTCTGGCTCTTCATCCACCATTAGTATTTCATTAGCAACTGTCTCAAGATTCTGAGTCTCCATTAATAATGGCAATTCATCATATAAAAGAGTTAGAAGCCATATTCTTTCCTTCTCTCTTGCATATACCTCTGGGTCTGTTTGGAGGGTGATTGCTTCCAGCAAACAGCTGCATTGAATTCCCCACATCCACCTGATTTACTCATCCCAGTCCCTCTTTGCGTGTGCTTATGGGCACAGAATTCCTCTTTCTCCTCTGGTGGGGATTTGGGCTGCACTATGGACTTTGCAGCCTTCCTGGGTTTTTAATTTGTGCCACCTTGTTGGAAGTGAGCAGAGTTCTGCCCGCAGAGCCAGGGTCTGCTGAGAAGAGAGAGTTGCACCCAATACTGCTGTAAGAACTAGGTGCTACCAGTGTCTAAAGGCTCCCTGAGCAGAAGGAATCAGCAATTGACACCCAGGGTGTGGTGGTTAAGGGCCGTTAGAGGCCCAAGTTCCCATTTGTAAAGGTAGTGGGAACTCATCTGGTCACTTCTCTGGATATCACAGTCATAAAACTTCACTGACTGATTTCAACATGAGCAGCAGAATGACAGCAAGTTAAGCATATGTTAAGAAAAAGAATTCGTCCTTTAAGAACTTTGGGAAAAGGATCAGTCACCTCTGTAGGTAAGTTACCTGCACAACCACTGTCCTTGGGAAAAAATAAAAACCCCAAACCAAAACCCAACCTTGTGTTTGAGTTCATCTTGCTTGGGCTCCCAAAAATTGGACTTGGAGGATGTTCTTCTGCTGCAAATGCTGTCCTGATCCAGGGATTTGACAGACCCCAATCATACCGTCCAGTCCTACTTTATATGAATGGATTGAATTTCTTCATTTTTTTTCTTCATCCGTCAGGCTTTTGTTGTCAGCTTTTTCAAAGATATTTAGTTTTCTAAGTGTTCTTTTTTGAAGAGTAGATGCCAGAACAGAACATGTCCTTATAGTAATTACCTTACTTGCATCACATAAATAGACAATAGCTTTATATCCTGCTCTGGTGTTCCTGTTGGAATGTCTATCAGAACTTTTTTTTTGACTCACTGACTTACAGCGTCTGGATTTTCATCTTGTGAGTCAAATCAGTGTATTCCTTGCATCACCCCAGCCCTGTGGTATCCAACTCTGCAGTATTGTTTGGTAAAACCACTGTAGGCAGCAGTCCAAGGCAGCAACCTGATCCCATGACTGTTCATTGAGGGGTTATTTTTGCCCTCCAGGTCTTTACAGGGATGACCACTGAAACTTTTGTAGACTACTGATCATACACAATTGTACAGTGTACGATCATTAGTGAGCCCAAAACAGGTCCTTGAAGCACAGTAGGGAAAACATTCATGGGCGAGTTCCTTCACTTTTTGCAATCTGTCAGATGTTCTGTAATCTGCATTATTAGTTCCAGTAGTGTAGTGATCATGTTTTACAGAAATCTTGGGTTAATAACACCAGTAAACTCAACTTTTTAAAAACTCAGAAAAGTGGAATTTTATTTTTAGAATGCTTTGACAGGCATAAATCATTCTCCATTCTTGAATACCATGTTGATTGCTTCCCTTGCTCTATGATTTGCTTAGCTCTTAGGGTGAAGCAGGGCCATTCCTTTTCCCAAGGTCAGATGCTTTGCTCTCTTCCCTCAGCCCCATCATGTGGTTTGCCCGTTAGTGCCACTTCCCATTTCAGATT